TGTTCGTGGCGGTGCGGCTGTGCAGGAGGAGCAGGGCGGCCTCGGTGCCCGAGGGTCCCTTTCCAGGGCATCTGGTGGACGTAAGCGGCACCGGGACCCTGTCCCAGAGCTACCGGTACGAGGTGTGTCTGTCGGGGGATTCCGGGACAAATGAGTTAAAATTTCTGAAGCCGATTATCCCCAACTTCTCTCCTCAGTGCCCTGGGAAAGAAATAGAGGGAAATCCTACCTTCCTGAATAGCATTGAGTTCAATATTCAGTGACCATAATCGACTTTTATATTCCATAGGTATTTTATTTTTTGGCATTTCTATACCAATGTTTATTTTCCCCAATTTGTGTGTATTTAAAATTGTACTGATTTACTTGCAGTTTTTCTCCTGTTCTTTCTCCCTTTGCTTTTATGTGAACATTTACTTTTATTCCTGGTTCTTAAAAGGTAGCAATTCACTCTTTAACCTAGATGGTCTTAATTTGTAATTAATTTGCCTCCCTAAAGTACAATACCAAATCACATTTTTCCATGTTCCTGTCTTCAGTTGAACTTCACACACAAGTATGCTTACAGTAAAATAATAGACCAATTTAGAAGTCCTTCAAATTTTCCAGCATTTTTTCGTTTGATTTTTCTTGTTTTTGCAGTTTTAAAATAATGATTGCTATTAAGATACATCATTTGTGTTTTTTCAATCCAGTATGTTTTTAATTAACCTTAAATATGTTATTACTCTCAAAAGTAAACCAGAAAACCTATATCCTATGATACAACTCTTATTATGTGATTTGAAAGGGTCAGAAGACCAGTTTCTTAGTATCCTTTCGTCATTCATCCTGGAGAGGATTGTGCAAGCACATTAAGATTGTGGCCATTCACAGAATCTGGGAGTATAAAGCTATAATTGTTTAATTAATGTCACAAGGCTCTAATGCAATCTAGTGGAGTGCAGATGCCTGTACCCAAATAATAATTTGTATAGCACAAAGTGGACTTGTGTGTTAATGTATAAAAAATTTTTGCCCTTACTATCATAAAATTTAATGTATATATACCAGAAACTATTTTTCAAACTTTTTTTACTGCAACCAATATTAAGATAATATTTTACATATTTGGCAACACACAAGCTTAATAGAAAGAAATGTTTGTCAACAATGCTTAGTCTTTTGTGACATAATTTGAAGTTACCTGTATTATTTCATTCTATTCAATTTTCAAATGTGGTCATGATCCACTAAATTTATTTCATGGTATACTAATGGGTAGTAGCCCAAAGTTTGAAAACCACTTTTCTGGGGCATGTAAAAGTATACCAGATGTTGAACACCGAGAGTATCAAAAAATAGTCCTTTAGGTTCTAATTAAAAATTTTTTTCAAACCATTGTAGAGGAGTAGCTTTGTCTCATATTAAACCACCTTGCCTTTGAGGATCTGACATGACTATGTAAGAAAAAGACTTCATAGTAGTAGGAGGAGGTTTTCCATGAATGTTATCAAAAAGTATAAAGCCTGTATGTTGTGGGAGAAAATGTAGGATAACAAAATGAGTAAGAGTATAAAGGCAAAGGAATCGTGTATGTGAGAGAGAGAGCAAGCATGGGAAAGAGGAAATTCATGGGGATGAGTAAAATGACTACTTTCAATGCTACAAAATAGACTCAATTGCTTCTCTCTCTCTCTCTTTTTTTTTTTTTTTTTTTTTTGAGACAGTCTCCTGCTCTGTCACCCAGGCTGGAGTGCAGTGTTGCAATCTCCACTCACCGCAACCTCCGCCTCCAGGGCTCAAGTGATCCTGCCACCTCAGCCTCACAAATAGCCAGGAATACAGGCCCAGGCTACCACATCCACTAATTTTTGTATTTTTAGTGGAGATAGGGTTTCACCATATTGTCCAGACTGCTCTTGAACTCAAGCAATCCACCTGCCTCAGCCTCCCAAAGTGCTGTGACCACAGGTGTGAGTACCTGGCCTCAACTGCTTCTTGAAGATATTTTAAAACTTTATCCTGACATTGTAGAGGGACTGGGTATTAGTCAGTTGATAATACCAAGAAGTGTAATCTCCCTTTCTAGCATATCTAAGACAACCTAATGTTTACACTTCTTACTAAGATTTCACTACCAGTTCTGTTGAACTATGTCAACTGAGTAACTATTCTTTTCTCTTTTCTTTCTTTGTTTATTTTTTAGAGACAGGGTCTCACTCGGTCACCTAGGCTGGAGTGCAGTGGTGCAATTATGGCTCACTGCAGCCTAATTCTATTGGTGGAGGAGGAAAGAGCAGTTCAAATGCTCAGATAGAAAATCTAGCACGGGCAGCAGTGGAGAAAAGGGCCAAGTACTTGTCATATTACTTCCAGTTTTTCTAGATATATGAGCCTCAGGACTCCTCTCTTTATAAAAAGAACTGTGAGTTTCCTGGCTCTTATGAGGAGTGACCAGGAGCTCAAATACATATAACCAACCAATGCTCCTAGAATGTATTGCTAAAAACAAATTTTGCTCTTATGCTTCAAAGACCTCATTTATAGTTATACTTAAAACAGTACATAGGAATCAAGCTGTATCAGCCAATTTTACATGAAAGAACTATTGGTTGTAAGTGACTTAGAACATAATTTTATATCCAGTGGGGGTTAAGGGACACAGAAAATAGAGACACAAGAGATGGCCCAGCCTTACAGAATGGATTCTCTCGAAAACCCTTACAATAAAAACCAAATAACAGATTTTTTTTTAATTAGGCAAGAGTATGGGGGAAAAAAGGACATAAGGGCATTTTATCTTACAAAAACATTTTTCTCTTTATCTTTCTATTTCAAGTTCTGCCACCAGATACTTGAAAATTACTGAAATAAGTTATTTAATAAGTTATGTTAAATAACTTGAAATAGAAAGATAAAGAACTTAATCAGTGAATCCACTGATTAACAACATGACCTCTCAGTCTCTAGGTCTTTACCTCTACCCCTGTTGTTCAGTCATTAACACCCTGGCTAGATATTGTACTTTTTCCCCACCTAGAAACCATTCTATGATATAATAATTTCAAATATCTTCTTCTGAGAGCGCAATTGTCTGTGCCTATAACCTTCTCATTCTGCTGTTCCTATCACCTCTTGTCTCTGAGCTTATCAGGAGCTCCATTCCATGATGCTGCTACTACCTATCAAACCCTCCTGTTCTAAGTTCCTTCCTATCCAGCTGATTTCCTGGTTTACCACTCCCAATCACTCTCATGCCCATATTCTAAATTTCCTTGTTCAGTTTTCCTTCACTAAAACCACTTAATGAAACTCCAGCCCACATGAATATAGTCCTCCTCCTCTCTTACACCAGGGCTGCTGCAGTCTGTAAGACCAAATTAACAAAATCAGCAAGACCACTGCCACTATAATCATATATATCCCAACCTAATTGGGCTTCTGAGACCAAGAACTCCTTTTATAATTTTTCGAATGAGCTCTCTTTTCCATTCACCAAAACATCTATTTTAAACCTACCTATCTTACTTTAAACTTCTTAGCCTACCATTTACATACCCCCTTTTAGCAGATGAACTTGCCTAATACCTTATTGAGAAAATAAAATCCATCAGCTAGAAATTCATTTTCCTGTCCCCTACTCCACAGCTTTAACAGCATCTGTCTCTATACTTTTCACCTTCTGTAGTCTCTCCCACCAGTCTAAGTCCAATCCCTTCATACATTGCCTGGATCCCATCTTTAACACCCTTTTTAGGGGAATTGCATTCTCTCCTCTGTATCGTAATTTTCTCCTTCCCTATTGAACATTACACATAGGCATTTTAAATATATTCAAGTTTCTCTAGTTTTAAAAAATAACCTCTGAGTCTGAATTCTTCTCCAGATACCAATGTATTTCTTATTCCTTTAACAGCCTATTCATTCTTTACAAATTTCTTGAGAGCCTGGCAGCAGTGAGCCATAATTGCACCACTGCACTCCGGCCTGGACAACAGACCTAGACCCTGCCTCAAAAAAAAAAAATTGTTGAAAGGGCTATCTCATTTTTGCTTCCTCATTCCTCTCACTTGGCAGCGAAGTAAAATCTAATTTTCTTCATAACCATTCTATTGAAACTGCTATTGCAAAGGTTATCAAAGATTTCTGTGCAAGTTCAGTAAGATTATATCGTGGAAACAATGTGATGCAATGACACAGTGACTTGTAAACGTCTCTGTTTTTCACATGACAGTAGCAATGTAAAAATTATTAGGTATATAGGGCAGCTTCGATCTTACAGTCCTTCTGCAACCAAATTTTCTTTCAAGTAATTGCTTCAAAATTCCCTATGGCGATACTATAATCTGCATGGGTATAGCTGGGTCACTGCTATATTTGGGTTCTAGCTCGCTTAGAAGAAAGAAGCATATCCAGATGATATCTATTCCAGACCTGGAAGGGGCAGACAGAAATTCTGCTCACAATCCATCTGTAAGAACTTAATTGACTTGGCCACACCAAACTACAAGGGAGGCTGGGATTGGCAATCTATCTTCATGACCATGTACCTGGGTATAGTTCTATTCCTATAGAAGCAAGAGAAAACAGATTTTGTCAGATATCTATCTGAGTCCTCCACAATGACCATATTTTTAAGTCAAATAGATAATTGTCATACTTATTTTTCTTGACTTTTCTGAAGCATTTTCAGCTGTTGACCTTCCTTATCTCCTTAAAATGCTATTTGCTTTTGATTTCATGATTTTGAACTCTGAGCCTTCCTTATCTTTTCAAATATACTTCTTGCCCTGTCTCCTCTAAATGAAGATGTTTCTCATATTTCTGTGCCAAGCCTCTTCTATACTTATTTTACATACTTTTGCTTGGTTATCCTAGAGCTTTCATGGTTTCAATCACCACATATATACTGATTAATCCCAAAGTTCGTATCTCCAGCCGAGATTTATTTCCTATGCTTCAGTTATATGCAAACACACACACACACACACACACACACACACACACACATACACACACACTCTACAGGCACTTAATATCAGCATGTTCAAAACCGAACACATCATCTTTTCCACCTCAATCATGTTTTTTCAGCATTCCCTACCTTGTGAATGGCACTCCTAGCCATCCAGTTGCTCAGTCCAGAGGTGGGATATCATCTCTGAATCTTTCCCCTTTTCCTCCCCATGTAACCTATGAACCAACAGTTGAAAATATTTCATCTCCTACTACCTTTCTACTCATCCCTCTTCTCTCCATCCATACTGGCATTACCCCCAGCCAGACTATCATCATCTCTTATCAGATCTCCTTGATTCCCCAGTCATTCCCCCTGAAATTAATTCTCCATGCTGCAGCCAAACTGATTTTTTTAAATGCAGATGTGATCATGTTAATAAGACGTTAAAACCCTTCTTTGTTTTTGAATTACCTTTAGAATAAATGCAAGAATGTATGATATGACCTGTATAATGATTCATATTCTCACCCTGCTTTTTAACCCTAATTTCATTCTTAGACTCTCCCCTTCCATGGATTTTAAAGTTCAAGGCATACTTCACTTCTCTGTGTTCCTCAAAATGTCCATCTAAATATTCCTTCTTCTCCTGGCTAGTTCCTTCAGATGACATTGTATTGTTCATTACCTCAGGAAAGCTTTCACTGATGTCCCAAGTCTGACTCAGATCTTAATTATTTTATTTTTTGACAGACACTTAACCAGCACTTACAAGCCACTTTATAAACATTAACTCATTAGATGCCTACAATAATAATCATAAGAGGCAAATATTATTATTACCCCATTTTACAGGTGAGGAAACAAAGGTATCTGTAACTTGTCCAAGTTTATAGATAGTGAGTGACAGAAGTAGGATTCTAATATTGACAATTTGGTTCCAGATCCCATATTCCTAACCACTAAGGTATGCAACCTCCTAGCTACAAAATGTCCTTTCTAGGTATTTCTATATTATTTTTATATATGCATACATTATGACATACTTCAGTTATTTGTCTGCCAAATTTTCTAGCTTGTGAGCTCTGTAATAGAATCATCTCTAACTTATTTGAGCCGTGTCTTTCTTTATATTTTTAAAATATAAAAGTGAAAAAAGTAATGACATTACTAACTACAATTGACTTAACAAGTATTTACAAGAGTGAAGGAGAGAATATATTTGTAATTACTCAAGAAATGACTTAAATACAAATTTATTTCTTCAGGCTATTTAACAGATCCTTTTGTGTCAAGCATTCAAAACAGTGATAATGCAGCGTATGGACCTTTTCTGGATTCAAATTAAAACAAATGAATAGCAAAAAAAAATTTGGAGAGAACTGGGAAAGCCAATGCAGTATAAGTTACGTCGAGGGATTATTGCTAAAGTTGTGAACACTGTATTACAACTATTTTTAGAGGGTCTTATCTATTAGAAATACTTAGTGAAGTATTTAAAGGCAAAAAAAATATGATGTCTGGGATTCATTTTGAATACCCAGGATGTATTTATGAATTGCTTTTTCAAAGAGGAAAACTTTTTAATGAAAAAAACATAAAGACGCATGGTGGCGCTACAGGATAAGATGAGAACAGTACGAAGGCCGGCACGGTGACCTTCACTATTCAGGAGAACAGAAAACATCCAACCCACTGAAAAGACAGGCATTAAAGGAGATTCGCCTACAGGGCTGCTGGAGGATACACTCTCCAGGGGTTTCCTACTAAAAAACCAGAGCTTCAGCTTCCAAAATTGGGGCTGAGCTTGAATTTTTCACAAGAGGTTGCCTGAAGGAACCATGAAGATCAGAGGGGCGCTCGCTCTGCAAAAAAGGCAAGTTCTGATATTCTTTGTTTTGCTAGGATTGTCTCAGGCAGGTGCTGAATCTGCACACTACTCTGTTGCAGAGGAAACAGAAATTGGCTCTTTTGTGGGTAATCTAGCGAGGGACCTAGGGCTGGAGGTGGAGGAGCTGTCTTCACGGGAAGCCCGGGTAGTGTCTGATGATAATAAAAAGTATTTGCACCTTGATTTGCTGACTGGGGACTTGCTCCTAAGTGAGAAACTAGACCGAGAAGAGCTGTGTGGCTCCACCGAGCCCTGTGTGCTACATTTTCAGGTGGTTTTGGAAAACCCTTTGCAGTTTTTTCAGGTTGAGCTGCATGTCAAAGACATAAATGATCACTCCCCTACATTTCTAGACAATGAGATACTTATTAAAATATCAGAAAGTACCACTATTGGAACTACATTCCTATTGGAGAGTGCTCAAGATTTGGATGTCGGAAGCAACAGTCTCCAAAACTACACGATTAGCCCCAATTCTCACTTCTATATTAAAATTCCAGACAGTGGTGACAGAAAGATATACCCAGAGCTGGTCTTAGATAGAGCTTTAGATTATGAGGAGGAAGCTGAACTCAGATTAACACTCACAGCACTGGATGGTGGATCCCCACCCAGGTCTGGGACAACTTTGGTTCTCATTAACGTCTTGGACATCAATGATAATGCCCCTGAGTTTCCTCAGAGTCTCTATGAGGTGCAGGCCCCTGAGGATAGACCCATTGGCTCCTGGATTGTTACCATCTCAGCTAAGGATTTGGATGCAGGAAACTATGGGAAAATATCTTACACATTTTTCCATGCATCAGAAGATATTCGTAAAACATTTGAAATCAATCCAATTTCTGGAGAAGTTAATTTGAGATCACCCCTGGATTTTGAAGCAATACAGTCCTACACCATAAATATTCAGGCAACAGATGGTGGCGGTCTTTCAGAAAAATGCACCCTTCTAGTTAAAGTTATGGATATAAACGACAACCCACCAGAAGTGACCATGTCGTCGATTACAAAAAGAATTCCAGAGAATGCCTCAGAGACCCTAGTAGCTCTTTTCAGTGTCCTAGACCAAGACTCTGAGGACAATGGGAGGATTATTTGCTCTATTCAAGATAACCTCCCTTTTATCCTGAAACCGACCTTCAAGAACTTTTTCACGATAGTTTCTGAAAAAGCACTGGACAGAGAGAGCCAAGCCGAGTACAACATCACCATCACCGTCACTGACCTGGGGACTCCAAGGCTGAAAACGGAATACAACCTAACAGTGCAGATA